CGAAGCACATTTCAAAGACAAATGAACGAGTTCCAAATTCGTAATTTGAATTTTCATTTCTTTTTCTACAATGTCACTTTAGTTATTGCCAGTATGCAAATTATTGGAGACTATTCGAACGTTTTCAGTATTTTTTATTTTGAAAATATGTTTGAATAACAATTACAGGGGAATATTTTTTATTATTGCTTTTATTAGTTTTTTTAGGGCTTCGTTAATTTAGTTAGTACCAATACCAAGCTGTGTAATAACATGTCACTGAAAAATCTGTAAATATTACATGCTTCTAACCCTACAAATTTTCATTTTTTTTTTAATTTCAAATTTTCCGATTTTCATAGACTTTCTAAATATTGTTTTACTTTACAATGTTTATCAGTTATGGATTGTCTTGATGTGCTGGCTACTGAACTTGTTAATTAGTATAGACTTTATAATACAAATTATCAAAAATCTTTCTGTCTAGCAAAGCTAATTTGAACTCTTTAGACAGTCCAACTCAATTAACGTGAGTAAATCATACTGGCATACACCAAATAATCTCTGGCAAGGTGCGGCGGACACGTATCGATTGCTCTGTGCTAATTGAATTTGTACATTCTAGTGTTACGGACAGTTTCGAACGTTGAACTGTGGTGGCGTGACAATTTTGTCACCATTATAGTTATTGCTTGGTAAAATAAAATACTAATCAACGTGAAAGGTTTAAAGAGAATAGCTCTGGAAAGGTCAAAACTAGTACGAAAGCAATCGTTCGCAGTTTGATGCTTAAGTTAATTTATGTTAAGGAATCTTTAATTTGTTTAAGCTCAATATTATCTCGAAACTTTTACTTGTCTTCAATAACATCGAAGACATTGATAAAATGTTAAAAGAGAACAAACATATCACGCTTACTTTCGTATTAAAATCCCGTAATCCCCTTTTTCCCGTTTCCGTTCGTGATTTTCGATAAAGAGTATTGGAAGTATGCTATTCAGGAGACGGTCTCTCCTGGTTCTAAGCTACCTCCCCACCAATTTTCATCCAAATCGATTTAGCCGTTAATTTAAGACACATATTATAGTTATAAGGATTTGTCAATTCCCTTCGAGTATTAAAATCCATGATATTAATTACTTAATTTTTTCAAAGTCATATAAATGAAATTATATAATACGTATTAATATAGGCACTTTATCCAACACATACCATAATAATATCGATAAGAAATGGACGTGAGGTACGTGAACAATTCCCTAGTAATTAGTACGTGGAGCGCGTAACTAATTATACCGACCATTTACGTAATTACTACGAGTCGTTAGTCTGAGCGGCGCCGAAATATACGCTTAATTGTATTTTCGGATATATACACGTAGGTAATATCAATAGATTTTTCTCTAAGACTATTCTTCTAGCTCAGCAGAAACAGAATGCATTTGTGTTGTCACCACCAGTGTCGTAACTATTCAGTTCGAGGACCGTGGTAGATTCATCGGATGGAGTCCCGTTCCCAATAAATAATAGAGAAGTTTAGATGGAAACATCTGAACATCTGGCTGAGGACCCGTGGTATTGACCTGCCACCCTGTAGTTACGCCACTGATCACCATAATTTCTCTTCTCGCGAGTTTCCTCAGATTTGTCTAGCTGGGGACGTAATATCATAGCCAATTAATTTGTGTTTTTTCTTATAAGTACTTGAGACCTATTTCAGTGTCCAAGTTGCTGTCAGCCTAACTGATAACCGCTTTTGACTCATTTCGTATGGAAAATACCTTAATTGGTCCCACTGTCACCAGCGTCAGGCACTAGATGTCTGGCATTTATGCTGAACTGGACCTTGTTTGCAGCAGCTGTCTAGCACAAAACGATTATTGTTAGTTTATTTCGATTTTAAATCTATACTAATCTATACTTAATATTATAAAGCTGAAGAGTTTGTTTTTTGTTTGACCGCGCTAATCTCCGACACTATCGGTCCGATTTGAAAAATTCTTACTGTGTTGGATAGCCCATTTATCGAGGAAAGCTATAGGCTAAAATATCACGCTACGATTAATAGGCGCCGAGCAGAGCGAGTGAAACCGCGCGGAAGTACTTAATTTTAGTATATACTTACGTCTATTTCGTGTTCTTGTTTTTTGTTTGCATTGTATTACTTATTGTATTTGAGCCTGGTATAGTACCAAATAATTATTCTTTCGCCGTTAAACTAACAGAGACTTTTCAATACCTAATCAGTTTAATACCACGTTTATCACAAGATAGGTTACCTTCAAACATTGACCTTTTCAAAATATCACTATGAACTTTTACTAAGGTTTAGTAGTAATTTTACGACGTCGTGTATTTACACTAAGCCTTTTATTACACACTTATTTAGTTGATACTATCGACTCGACTAATGGCTGACCTATGGAATTGTAGACGCATTAATTTCCTAAAAAGCTTATTTGTAGAAGAGACGTATGTACTAGTAGGCAGGTCACATACGCCCTCTACAATAGTTGTCCATTAAACTAAATAAGTAATTACATTTACACAAACAGCTTGTCAATCTACTGCTAGTATTATTATTTTCTATAATAGGACTTGCAATAATATTCACGTTTTTCCGCGGTTGGAGATTGTAGTTGAAAATAAAATGTTAGTTTTCCAATAGATCTGCCTGTCGATGCTGGTACTGGTATTTGTCAAATGGACGCAAATACTCGCTAATGAGCTGGAACTTAATGAAAATTGCGTGATGTGACCTAAGCCTTAAATGGAATCTAAACTATACAGATAAATAAAAGTGGAGTGTCTATGTGTTATAAAATAACCGCTTTTTACTACAAGCATATGAATATGCATACTATAACATACACATACAAAAGTAACATTTTTTACATTTTTTGTAGGTCTGTTTGTCTTGTTGTACTGGCTTGGCTAATCTCTGGAATGGCTGGACCGATTTTGACGGGACTTTTATTGGCAGGTAGCTGATGTACTAAAGAGTAACATAGAATTCACAAAAAGTACTATTATTTTGGAAAATGGAAACAAAAAAAAATACATCCTACAATTCATATTTTACGCCGACGAAGTCGCGGGCAACAGCTAGTTTGTAATAAAACTGGCGAAAACCGCTTTAAACTGTCAAACACCAAGCGGTCACCGGTGACTGCAACCTATTGTTCTATAATTGTGTCTATAATGACGGTACTCGACGAGTTGAAGCATAAAAGGCGTTTAGCTATATTTTTTTATCGAAATTTCTTTTTCTCGTGACTCTCGTCCGTGCCCTTGTCATATAATTAACTACAATGTTATACTGAGTTTACTTCATACTGTATTTTACACCATCCCGTTAGAACAAACACAACAGCATAACTCGATGTCTTTATCCACATAACAGACATACTGTTGTCTTGATTTATAATGTTTTTATTGTTTGACCTGATACCTGCCGCATCTTTTCGCCATCGACCCTCACGACAGCATGCATCCCCACCATATAGATGGTTGGCAGGCCACAACTATGTGCTTTTTACGTAGTTTTCTGCCTCGCACAGCAAAACTGTAGAATGATCTTTCATCGGCGGTATTTCGATAACGCACCTGTGACTTCTCTGGTGGGTATCCATGGGCGGCGCTGATCGCTTACCATCAGGTGGTCCGTCTGCTCGTTTGCAAAATGATTGCTTGATCATCATCATACCGCTAAATATGCAAGAGATATGTGGAAATCTTCACGGTTATTCACCGTAGTGTGATGTTTAGAAATTGTGTTAGGTGCCAAGTCATTGTGAAATCTATACGTTCATATATAACATGCATTTATGATTGGTTTTGAACCAAGTCGAATTACATTATTATTTGAAGACTAACGGGCGAAATTACCGATCTCAATATAATTTACATATTATCTTAAGATTGAAATCGATCGGAGTCGCGGAGGACTTAACGGGAAACCGGGGCTCCGGCTCGAAGTGCAGGAGTAGGAACGTGGTGGTTTTTAGTCAGTAAGAGCCTGACACTCCCTCTCGCCTCACTCGGGCGAGAGAAGACATTGGATGAATTGTCCCCCTTTAAAAAAAAATTGTAATCGTTTTTTGTCATTATTTCTATTGAGCCAGTATATGGCAATAGGCTCACCCCCTATTACATGGGACTCATAACATAAATAGTGAATAGTAGGTGTTACATTGTACAGTGGTATTAAGTGCCGTAATGTGCACCTCTGCTTATAAAAGGCGTGATGTTATATTATGTTATGTTAAGTTCTATTGAGTTTATGTCTAAATCCTAGGTCAATCCAGACTTTTTATTAATTTCAACTGCAAAACGTTACATAGTAAGATTGGTCTATAAGTCAATAATTATTCATTCATAGTTTGACGAACCAACAATAATTATTTTTATCGTAGTTACGCGCATGCCTAAAAATAAAAAGGGTCAAGCTTACAAGTTCAATGAACTACACTCCATAAATAGAACATATTTTTCCCATGGTACCCACTCATATGTACTTATAATTAGTTCTACAACATATCTATTTTAAACATAAACCAAAAGGAAAGAAGCACATTTTTCTCAGTAGTCCTTGTCGGATTTTCGTGGCATTTCATTACTTTTTACAATCAATGTAACATATTGTATGTATACGTACCTATATCTTTCATTACATTTTAGTTGATATGTGTGAAATTATCAATTGTGTCGAGTCGCCAACTTCAAAAAAAAGTAGGTTCTCAGTGTGACCTGTGTATGACTGTATGTTTATATGTATGAATGTATGTTTGTGCGCGATCATCTCGCGATTGCCTGAACTAATTTTGATGCGATTTTCAAATGTTTCTTATTAATAAAATAATAACCGAATTCAAAATCAATTAACGGTTGATATTTTATTGATCCTCAGAACTGGATTCTTAGTTACTGGCCAGAAAATTAGCGTTTTTCGCTACTTAAACTAGGCCGACGATAATGCAATTTATACTTATAAGTATTGTAATGTAAATATATTGTTTCAGGCTCTTCAAATACATCTGCAGCCGGAGGAAGGAGATATACTAATCTTCATGCCGGGTCAAGAAGACATTGAGGTTACTTGTGAGGTAAAAACACCATATTTTATTAACTAAAAATCGCGGGTTACTCACGTGAATATACTGAGAAAAGCTACAGATTTTGAGCTTTGAGGCTCTCTGCTAGGGTATCAACCTACGTCCCCGCAACCGCGCAAAATATATAATATTATTATTTTGTTTTATAATTTTCCATAATATGCTATTTTTAACACATAGTTTCCCATTATGATTAGGATTTCCGATTGTGTAATCCCGTAGTCAGTCATACGTAACCCACAGAGAAGTAAAGTAATGACAGATGTTCGTCATCTATTCTGCTTGATCTCCACACAGTACATCACGTACGCGTCTTCACCGCTTCATCATCACTAACAAATAACACTAGGACAAAACATTCATTTTCTCTTTGTACTTGCAGGTACTGACGGAACGGCTAGCAGACTTGGACAGCGCGCCTCCCCTCACCGTGCTCCCAATATACTCCCAGCTGCCAGCTGACTTGCAGGCAAAGATCTTCCAGCGCGCACCACCAGGCCAGAGGAAGTGCATCGTTGCTACTAATATTGCTGGTAAGTTATTACTTTTAGAAGTGTTCCTTGACTGCCTTGTTGCCCGAGTAATCGCAAGTGCGAATGCTGGACAAGAGGTCTCGGGTTCGTTCGGGTAAATTATTCTTATAAGATTCGAATTAAGAATAATTTAAAATGCTCGTTGGCCTACCTGTGATTACCTCGACTGCCTCGACTGCCTCGTTGGCCGAGTGTTCGCAAGTGCGGCTGCCGGCCAAGGGGTCTCGGGTTCGATTCCCGAGTCGGACAAAGTATTACTGGAGACACTGAAGACATTGATGCCAAATTAAATATTTTCAACACCAAAGTCAGTGAGTTGTACGATGTCCATGCTCCTGTGCGGCCGGTTAAAATTAAGCACGTTCCGGCTCCATGGTTGACGGAGGAGATCAGGGTCATGATTCGGAAAAAAGCTGCTGCGAAAACCAAATTTAAAAGCCAGCCTAGTCCTGTGAACCGTGAGAGATATATTGATATTCGCAATCGCAGCAACAGGATGTGTAGAGATGCACAACGCCGCCACATTCACAAATCTGTCGAAAACGGAGATCCAGCTAAGGTCTGGAAATTTCTTAAGTCTATGGGCGTCGGAAAACCGCGTCATGATGCTATCTCTAAAGACCTTGATATCGAATCTCTAAATAAACACTTCTCTTCATCGTCCAATATCAATGGATCCTTCAAATCTAAAACTTTAAGCTACCTTTCTTCTCTTCGTACTCCTGATTATTCTCCATTCACCTTCGATCAGATCGCGGCTGGTGATGTTAGGAAGAGTGTGGTTGCTATTGCCTCCAATGCAGTTGGTAGTGATTGTATCAGTCGTAAGATGATACTCCCTGTCCTGGACGAGATCCTCCCAATCATCTGCCACATCCTGAACCATTCCCTGACCAGTTCTGTGTTTCCTTCTTTGTGGAAGGAAGCACAAATTACTCCTCTACCCAAAAAACCTAAACCTGGGAGTTTCTCCGACTATCGCCCCATTTCTATCTTACCATTCCTATCAAAAGTCCTTGAACGCCTCATCCACAAGCAACTTAGTGTTTTCCTCAACAAATACAATCTTCTCAATCCTTTCCAGTCCGGGTTTCGTCCGGGACATAGTACCACTACAGCATTAGTCAACATTACGGATGACATTAGATCTGGCATTGAGAACGGTAATCTTACTCTTCTGGCGTTGCTGGATTTCAGCAATGCCTTTAACACCGTTGACGTCGATATACTGCTGGGAGTACTGAACTCTCTTAACATATCTCCGGCTGTGACTGATTGGTTTCGTAGTTACCTGTGTGGCCGCCGGCAGCGAATCCATATTGAAGACTCCTTTTCTTCTTGGTCTACTACGACTGCTGGCGTACCGCAGGGGGGCGTTCTCTCTCCTTTACTCTTCGCAATTTTCATAAATTCTATCTCCAACGACCTTCTATCATCCTACCACTTGTATGCTGACGATTTGCAAATTTATTCACAGGCACCCCCTCACGAATTCTCCGAAGCAGTTAAAATGATCAACACAGATTTAGCGCGAATTTCGGAATGGAGTAAGGTTCATGGGCTACGGGTTAACCCTTCGAAGACCCAGCTCATTGTTGTGGGTAGCTCTCGACTGAGCTCAAGAATAATTTGGTCGCAGGTCCCACCGGTTGTATTCGATGGCACTACATTAACGTATAGCGACTCAGTGAAGGATTTGGGTGTTATTATAGACCGGGACTTTACTTGGGGACCCCAGCTGGGGGAGGTCAGTCGGAAGATGTTTGCTTCGGTGAAATCGTTACGTAGACTGCGGAACTTTCTTCCTACTGCTACCAAAATTGCGCTCGCTCAATCACTTCTTCTGCCCATCCTTGACTATGCCGATGCCAGCTATCTAGACATTACTGAAGTACAGCTAAATAAGCTTGAGCGGCTCCAAAACTTCGGTATTAGGTTCATATTTGGTTTACGCAAATATGACCATATTTCCGAATATCGCAACAAACTCAAGTGGCTTCCAATCCGCCTTCGCCGGAATATGCATGTCTTGTCCTTACTCTACAGTATACTGTATAATCCTGTAACCCCTAAATATCTTAAAGAACGTTTCAAGTTCCACCATGACACACATTCAAGATCCCTGAGAGCGTCGGAGAGGTTGAGGCTTGGGATGACTCAGCATTCTACTAAGGCATATGATAAATCTTTTACGATCCAAGCTGTTCGCCTGTGGAATGCACTCCCAGTGTCGGTGAGACAAGCACAGTCACTTGCTTCCTTTAAAGCTAAAGTTAAAGATTATTATTTGTCTACGTCATGAATCGTATTAGCTCCTTTATATACTTATTTAGATTGTATATATATATGGTTATGTATATGTATTTATTTATATATATATTTGGTATGCATGTATGTGTATATAATTTAGTATATATATATAT